TAGGGAAGAAGCAGGAAATCACTTTTCACTCCAAAGATCTTCTGTCCCCCCCCCCTTTTTTTCTACAAACGTATTTCCCAATTCAATCTGAGCTGCTACAAAGACAAACAGAAAACGCAGGAATTTCTTTCTTCTGCATCCTAGTGCAAACCAAAAGAACAACATTTGTTCAAGGTCTACCAGTGGATGCAGCTCTTTCTCTTTTCAGATGATCTGAGGAGGCTCCCTGGTTAGTGGAGTGGGTATTCATTTGAGAATAAAACTTCGAGTCTGAGACCCTTACTTCAACGGTCAGCATGGACTAGTGGTGAGAAAACAAGGTTGCACCTGGAGACATTTAGATTTGAATTACACCTGAGCTAACTATGTGACCCTGGACAAGTGCCTTCAGTTCTGTGAAACTCAGTTCATCTGTAAGTGTGGTTAGTAATGGCTAGCGTGCATTGCAGGAACAATGAGTACTTTCAAAGACCTGGATCAGCTAGGTCATCCGTGAATAACTCAGTTGTTTTTTTCTCCTGCAAAACCTGACTCCTTGGGACTCCAGCCCTTCCCTGTACTTCTCACCCTCTATAGTTTATAACGCAAAAGCAATGTCCCTGCAGTGACCACAGATCTCAGGAGACAGACGAGAGCAGGCAAGTGAAAAGCACATCTAACAGAGGTGCATTCAGTGTGCACCACAGCTAGGCGCTGGGAATGCAAGATGAGAGGGACAGTGTGGCACTTGCTCTCAGAAAGTGCACAGAGTTTATTCTTTATTTTTGTTTCTTCAGCATCTGAATCCAGTAGGTGCTAGATAAAGAAAGTTTGGAGGAATTGAGGGAGGTGAAAAGGAGGCAAAGTGAGGATGTGGGGAGGAGAGGAGAAAGAGAGAAGAAGATCCCCTCTGGGACACAGGAGCTGCCTGAGAAGAGAGTTGGACCTTCAATGATGGGTGGGGTTGCTTAGGGAGTCCTGAGGGAGGGGGAGGGGGCGCATCCCAGGATGATGGAACAGCAAGGACACGGGGCAAGTGACATTAGTGACCAGCCAGCACAGGGGCGCTGTTGAGCGCCCGTGGAGAAGGGAAGTTGATTTTTGAGAAGCTTGTAATCCAGGCTGGGAGGTCGAGTGTTGTCCTGCAGGTAGTGGAGACCGTGAGAGGTTCCACCCCTTGAGAGGATGGGAACATAAGGAAAGTCTAGGAATAGTCCAGGAAAACACATGCAATGGATTAGGGGAGGGACGCTTTCAGAGTCTATTGCGAGAGCCCGGGGTGGGACGAGGAAGGCCTGGATGTGGGTGGCTGCGGTAGGAACAGAGAAGAAATGGTGAACCTGAGAGAGACATGGAGAAAGGCTAGGCTAGGCTCAGTGACGGTGACAGATTAAGTATAAAACGTGGGAAGGGGAGGTCACACTGCCTGCTGGGCTTCACATGAGGAAAATATCATGGGATAAATTGGGAGACTGAGATGAAAACCTGGGGTGGTGGAGGGTGCGAGGTGTGTTGAGTGTACACTGAGGGCAGGGCCTGAGTCAAAGACACACCCACACTGTGCTCAGTCAGAGACATCCAGGGAGGATGGGAGCATGGATGCCAGACCCAGAGGGGTGAACCAGGCCTGTTCACCTGCTTCCCACAAGAGGGCACGGTGCCAGCCTCATGGCCAGCTTCAATTGATGCGTGTGGAACAAGCAAACATCCTTGGGAGCATACCATGTGCTGTGTGACACCATCCCAGAGGCTCACCTGCCTTTCACTTCTCTTGAGAAGGAAAGAAAGTGGGGGAAAGAAAGCAGGTGATGAGGGAACGGCAAGGTGTGGTGAGGGAATGGCAATAACTGCCCTCCCAGGCTTGCGGAATGGACTTCCAGGGGTTCCCGAGCCCCCAGGAGAGGCCTCAAGGTCCATCTGGAGGGGAAAAGAGAGTGGATGCACCCTCCCGCTCCTCTTCACCCACAGTACCACACCTTTTCTCCACTCTAGACACTAGAGAACATTCGGTTTAAGATCCATGTGAAAAAGCATCTCACTGGTTTAAAAGTAAAAAGTGATTTTAGTGGCTTAGCTATAAAGTGTAAAACTTAAAATCAGACTGAAGAGGAAAACTGCCCATTCACGTATTAACTATCCCCCCAACATAATTTGCAAATCATGCCCTTTGGGTGGTTTGTGTGAGACTATCCTGTGTATTTATCTTCCCCTGGAAACATCCTTCCCATAGAAAAGCCAAGTGGGTCCAAGCACACAAAACATGACAGCCGAAGCCTTAGGAGTGGTTGCTGTGGAGTCCGTGTCTCTGACACTCTCTTCCACACAAGGCCCTCCCCTGTTCCACCCCATCCCTTCAGGTTCCTTTCCTGAAGACCTCAGGTGTTATTTGGGGGGCCTCATGCCTTCCCCCACTGCTGGCTCTGAGACACCCTCCAAAGTGGCTTTGTGCAGTCTAAGCTCCACTGCCTGCTTCCATCAGACTTGGCTCCCAGCCCTGTGCCTTCCTCCAGAGGCTGGTTTCCATGGTGACAGCCTTCTCCACTCCCTCAGGGCACCAACCCCTCCAACTCACCCTTGCCCCCTCTGGGTGCCTCCTGCACCCACCCCTCCCCAGGTGTCTTCACCCAATACCTCCTGCTCCTTCACCAAGAGGAAGCAGGACTAAGGAGAGCATGGGACAGTCACCCACTGCAAGCGCTTCCTAATAATGGACATTTTGGAGGGCTCAGCATCGCTTCATTCTGGACCTTCTCATTATAGCCCCTCAGCTCCCAGTTGACAACCTGATAATTCTCTCTGATAGCATCGTCTTTGTTAGCTACTGCTGCTGCCTTGACTCTGTCCTTCCTACAAGAAAGATTTTGAGATAAAAGAATGAGCTGTGAAATCATCGTTAGAGAAAGGAGAAAGGAGCCTAGGGAAAGGGTCGGTTCTGCCCACTGCCTCCCTCTCCTGGTACTGCCCCAACTCTCAGCCTCTCCCCTCCTCTTCCTCCTCCTCCCTTCCTCCTTCCTCCATTTCTTCCTCTCCTTCTTTTCTCTCTGTTCTTCTTTCTCACTCTCTTTCTCCAGCCTCTCCCTTCTCTCACCTTCTCCTCTCTCATCTCTTCCCTCCTTTTCTCTCCTGCTTGGTGCCAAGAAACAGTCTAATTACAACAGAGAACTTGAAGAGACAGAGAGAGAGGAAAAAAACACCATAAGTAGTTGATTAAAATGTCCTATGAAATCCAATTTGTAAAGCTCAAATCAGAATAAAAAGTGTTACTCCCACAATTCAAGGCCAATTTGATTTTTAATGAGACTCCTCAGAGACCCTGCCAAGATTTCATCAGGTTGCGAACTCAGCCACCCGCCTGCCTGCTGCAGACTCCCTGCTGTGGCTCTGCCTCCCTCCCCTGGGGAAGCCTCCACCCCAAGCTCTGCTGCCACCCCAGCTCCCCTAGGTCACTCTACACCAAGCACTCCCTTCTCAGAGTCTGCTTTATGTCCCCAAAACGGGTGGCAGCCAGTATCCAGGACCTCTGTGCCATCCCTGACTCGCCCCATTCTGGGAGGAGAAGCTATGACAGCAGCTGGCCTACCAAACCCAATTTTGCCTCAGGTCTGTATCTGCAGGGCAAGGAGTAGGAAAGAAAAGGGCTTAGAGTTCAGATGGGCCCTAGCACAAACCCTAGCTTCTCCGCTCATTAACTGTGTGACCTTGGGCAAGTGACTGTGCCTCTCTGATCCTGGCTTTTTTGTTGTTATAAATGGGGCTCTTTCTGCCCTGAAGTACAATTAAGTGGATTATAGGAGAAGGGAGTATGTAAAGCATTGGTTGGGCTGTGGGCCAAATGCCCAGTGAATGTCACTGTCCCATTGTCCATTCAGTTGTAGCCTTGCAGAGAATACAAATCACATCACCCCTCTCCTCAGCAACTTCCTTCAGGACCAGGGTCAGGGCATAGCTCTGTAGAGAACACGGCCTTCAGAGCCAGAAAGACAGATCACAACCCCTGCCCCTAGATGGTTCCCTGGGCAATTCAGTTAACCCTGCACTTCTGTTTCCCAAACCATCATGAAATGGGGTTGAAAATGTAGCACACACATGCAGTGCCCGTAATAGCCAGAGCCAGGCACGTGCACACCAGGTGAGCCACACACACCACTCCTGTTGCTCTCTTTCACTGCCCTGGGCCTCATTTCTCCATCTGGAAAATGGGAGCAGAAATAGTACCTACTGTTTTCAGGTAGTTATGAAGATGAAAATATTAAGGATCTAAAACTCTAAACCCTTAGAACAGAGCCTGGCATCATGTACAAACCATGGATGTGTTTGTTTAACAAAACGCCATGAACTAGTTAGCGTCAATGGCTCTAAGTCGTCTTGTTTTAAAGTATGGATGGGGAGGCGTGGGGTCCACTGATGATTTTTCTCCCAAGCAATCGTGAGGCTGGAGCAGGGTCTGCTGCAGAAAAGAAAGTGACAGGAAGGACGGTGAGATGTGGCCGCTGGCTCCCTCCACCACACTTTCTGCCACACTGTACCACCACCACTCCCCTCTGAATTTGGCGCTGGGAGCCATTAAAACAATTATGTGATATCTGATTCCACCCCACCACTGTTCTCTTGATTCATAACCACCACAGCATACTTCTACGGGAGGTCTCACCAGCTGCTGCCCTGGTGTGGAAGAGTGTGCGGGACAAGTGGCATTAAGTAGGAGTTCACCCAGTGAAAGGCGAGTGGTATGTCCCAAGACAGGCAAGGGGTGGCCCATGGGAGCTGCAGTGCGGCTAGACCGTGTGTGAACTCTAGTGATTGATGAACAGCAAGGCTGGGGTTGGGTCCAGCCCCTCACAGGAGGGGATAAGGCTGGGGCAGAGATGGGTTGGGAAGTGCTACCCACCATCCGGCAGGAAGTGAGGCTCCAGGAAGCCTGGTCTCCTGGGCGGGCCCTGGCTCTGTTTCCATCACTGGAGGGGGCCTTCCTGCCACTATTGCCTGCACATAACTGACTGCTGTTCTTGTCTCCTTCCCAGGCCAAGTCTACTCCTTCAGTCAGCAGCCTCAGGACCAGGTGGTGGTGTCGGGACAACCGGTGACACTGCTATGTGCCATTCCCGAATACGATGGCTTCGTTCTTTGGATCAAAGATGGCTTGGCTCTGGGTGTGGGCAGGGACCTCTCAAGTGAGTACCTCCAGGTCTCCCCCACCCATCTACCTCCCTAGGGGTCCCTTTATAGGCATTTGGGGATCAAAGTTCTAGCTTTCACTACGGCTCCCCTGGCAAAGTCAGGCTACCCAAGCCCGGAGTCCAGAATCCCCAGGGCTTTGAGTGCCCCTGACTATGAGTAATGAACTGGAGTCTGTTTCCTCTCCAGTTTGACTCAGTTGGCCTCTCTATGCAGACCCAAGGGCAAGCAAATCCTCTCTCCTGGTGCTGGTTCCTAAACCTAACACAAGCTTGCCCTCGACAGTCTATTCCAAAGGTAAACATGATTCATGTAAAGTCCAATTTCTGGAAATCAAGTTTTCCTAGTTTTTGGCCCAAGACATATTCCCCATTTACCAAGGCATGATCATTAAGGAAATATAAGTCTGGCTTCCCACTCATTAAAGAGAGCACATAAACTGAAAACTCACAGAGAAACCTGGTTGATCCTAGCAGTCATCTTGGGATGGGAAGAAAAGGACAGACAAGAAGTGTTTAAAATAAGTTCCAAACCTTGTTTGGCCCTCTCAGGCTGGTGTTCAGTAAAGATACCTTGGGAGTTTAGGGGCCCCATGACTATTGTGTGAACTCACTGGTTGGTACCCAGGTCACGTGATCTATTAACTATTGTGAATGGCAACCCAGTAAGCCCATAAAGACACCTTTCCAATCTATCCTCTCCCCAGAGAAAAGAGAATGGAATCACCCCCAAGTCGTGCCCCCGTCAGCCATCATAACTCTGCCCAGAGGTGAATAGGCATGTGCTTGCTTGCCAGATTTTGTGTTAACAGAGAAATTTAGAAGGAGGGGTCTTGGTGTCATTCCTCTGTGATTTGGGAATGGCTGAGTGTGGAAGGAGAAAAATATTATTCAACTGAAAAGTGACATTGCCTCTCATGTGGTGTACAGCTGCAGGAAAATAAAAATCGAAGTGCACTCAGGAACATGATGACCGGGAAATTAATATTTTAAAATGTGAGTTATGTCTTGCCAAAAATGTATATTGAAACATTATAGCAATGGTCAATAGCAGTCACAGGGTTTGAATGCTGCAGCCCAGCTGAGCATGGATAAAATACACAATCATATCTCCAAAATATACTGTACTGCCATAAAGTTTAACTGCTATGGGAACCAGCCAATTTCAGAGACTCTGAACTCTCGTACCCTAGAGAAACTGAGGGAATGATGCAAGCTTCCCAAACTGGAATTGTTCGTGCACTGGATGGCTCTGAGCTGGGCTGTCTAGGGTCCTGGTCAGTAGTTTTCAGCCTTTAGATAGGGATGGGTGTCTTGTCGGGTCAGTGGCCAAGAGAAAGCTTGGGTCACCAGAAACGGCTCATAGCGTTGTCAGCAAAGCACGAACAATCGGCTCTCTGGCTTCTAGTTCCACAAAAGGTTCTCTGGGATCCTGCTTGGTGCTGAAGGCCAGTGGCCTCTAATGAACTGGTGTCTGCATCCTCTCCAGTTTGACTCAGTTGGCCTCTCCATGCAGACCCCATGAACTCAAACTCCTGATGAAGTATCTGCCTTGTATTTGATCACTTGTCCCAAGAACAGCATCTTGGCAACCATGATAGATATTTACATGCTCAATAAACCCTACTTGTTTGCCTGATACGGAAGTGAGCAGAGCAAAAGTCAATTCAGTAAGCATTTGTAGAGCAAATTCATACTGCAAAAGTTTTCCTACAGGGAAACTGAGGTCCAGTGTTGTGTTCAGCCTGCTGCATCTCTGTCCTCTCCTATTTTAACTATATGCCTTCACTGAGTTTACTAGGAATGATACCCTCACTGAAGACCTAAATGTCTTTCTGGTCACCAACACTTGAAAAATTAGTAAAACGAAATAAATAAATAACTAGCTTTAAAAAACTAGTATAAATGCACTTCCTCATACTGATAGAACATTTTTCTTCTAAAAAGCTGAATTACTTCTCAGACACTATCTCATAAATCTACAGTGATCCAGAGAGAGAAAAGAAGGATATTCCCCTTTGTTTGACAGGTAAACAAAGTCACAGTTGAGAAAGAAATGAACTCAATTATATAACCAGTCCCAGTGCTTGAGACACTGGCTGTTAACCCCAAACAGCACATATATCTTGTCTTGCTCTCCTTTCCAAAGATGGCGACCTCTTTGGCTACCTGACCTTACCACTCATCATCATTTTTAATTAAATTAGCATCTATAGACTACTTGCTATGTGCCAGGTACTTTACATAGATTATCCTATTTAATCACCACAACCCTATGAGGTACTAGTATTTTCCCCATTTTACCCATAAGAAAATGAAGATCACCGGCTCGGTGGCTCAGCCTGTAATCCCGCACCTTGGGAGGCTGAGGTGAGTGGAATGCCTGATCCTGCGGGTTCGAGACCCGCCCGGGCAACTTGGTGAGACCGCATCTCTACAATAAATCAAAAAATCGGCCGGGCGTGGTAGCGCGCGCCTGTAGTTCCAGCTACTTGGAAGGCTGTGGCGGAAGGATCGCGGGAGCCCAGCAGGTGGAGGCTGCGGTGGCCGGGAGCAGCCACTGCACTCCAGTCTGGGCGACAGAGTGAGACTCCAACTCAAAAAAAAAAAAGAAAATGGAGATACAAAGAAATTCGAGTAACTGACTCAAAATGACAAAACTAGGAAGTGATTGAGCTGGCACTGAAACACAGGTGATTTCACTATGGAACTCAGACTCTCAATAATGGTGTCTCCTATGGGAGTACCGAGAGAGAGAGTAACGATACTGTGGAAGGAGCTAGAACTTTCTCCAAACCTATGCTTCAGAGTCTGTGTTTTTCGAAGATGCTGCCAGTCCTTGGGATAGCATCACAGTTCGCTGCCTAATTAGGCAAATACAAACAAACCCATCACTGATGTTTTCAGCAGCTCATGAGAGCAAAATCCTGCTGCTGATAGCTTGCAAGACAACAAAAACACAAGCTCCAGCCAAGATGCCTGCAGGAGACCAGGGACTAATCACAGGACAGCAGGATCCAGAGGCTGGGCTGGAGGCGCTGGGAGCGGTGAGCCAGCAACACTGAAGGCAGCAGCAGCAGCAGGGCGAGGATTGGACTAGAACCCATTTCCAGCCCTTTGCCTGCACTGGAGGGAGCCAGCTTAACTTACCTGGGCTCCTTCCCAAAGCCCAGCAGAGGGCAGGAAGGGTGGGCAGGAGGAGAGGCAGTGCTCCCAGGGGTATAGCTAATGGCCTTGAGAGCATTTCTGGCCAAGTCTGCACAGCTGGGGAGGACAGGGCCATTTGATTGCATGGTGATGACAGTGGTAGCCATAAAGACACGAGCCTACAGGGCTCAGCTCTGCACAGGAAGCACCCACACAGCATGCCAGAAAGGCAGGCTGAGAGTCACAGCTTCCTCCACTGACCAGAAACAGGTGCTGGTGGCCACCTTCAGGAGGGCCTGCACCACCTCCAGAGTATCTTTAACTTATGGAAGTGGCAGGAGCCTTAGAGTTCATCTAGTCCAATTCTCTCATCCAGGGTAAAAATCGCCTCTGCAGCATCTCTCAGAGTTGATCATCTAACCTCTGCTTGAATACAGCCAGTGATGGGGTCCTCACTACCACCTCTGGCAGCTCAGATCCTTATTGGACATGCCAAATAGTTAAGAATATTTTAAAGTACTTCCCCATATTGGTGCTGCCTGTTGGTGTTAGTGCTGTTTGTGTGAGCTACATGAACACGTCTAACCCATACTAAGAGACTGTTTGAAATATTTGAAGAGAGTGCACTCTTACATGTCTATCTCTTTCTCTTTGTCTCTGTCTCTCTCTCTCTCTCTCTCTCTCTCTCAAGCCCTTGTCTCCTCTTTAACAAACCTGACTCTTTAGCAAAACCCTTCTCTTTAACAAAAACTCTTCCACCCTGTCACCCTACAGCACATGTCTGAGAACTCCCACTGTCCCGGTGAAAGGCCTCCAGAAGGAGAAGCAGTCTGGGACTACAGGAGGGGTAGTGAAAGCAGAGGGCGGTCTCTGAAGAGTAGGGGACCAGAACAGGGAGGTGTGGGGAGTTCCCTTGTAAATCCACACCATAAAGGATTAGAGGGGAGGGCAGAGTCGATGAGGGGATGGATAGAGAGCAGAGATTCTTTTGGGAAAAATTAAAGAGGTTTAGAACCAAGCCCCAGGAAATAGAGGATTTGCCCAACCTGGCCAGCATGACTTAAGTTACCATTTATATTCAACTCTACACAGCCACAGGAAAGCTGATTAATGATTTATCAGTCTCAAACTTTTATTTATCTATTATTCATCACCAGTGGTATAAGGGGCCCCAAATTCTTAAGTGTCCTGAGTACCTCATAAGTGCTTAATCAGACCCTGAAGTTTGGGGCTGGGCAGTAAGAATGACTAGACAAGAGCCATTTGTGGCTCAAAGTAACCAGGGATTCTTAGACATTGGAAGGTGGGCCTAGATTTCTGCAGTTCTACTTCCTGTCCAACCTGAAGCAAAACTTTTTCCAGAGTCACTCTTGAATCGCTTCCAAATATTTCTCTTTTTTCTTTTGTTTTATTATAAAGATGTGAGGTACAATTCAGGATTAGGTATACAAACATTGATTATGCAGGTACCCTTGTTGATGAGGTATGCCCCTCCCTCCCCTAGCAGTTTCTCTCAACTGTCAATCCCACCCCTGTCCCCTTACAGTTTCCCATTACTGCCAAACACTTTCTTATTCTATTATAATTGTTCAAGTTCCGCTTATGAGTGAGAACATATGGTACTCTGTTCTTTGTTTCTGTGACAGACCACTGAGTATGGTCGACTTCAAATCCATCCAAGTTGCTGCAAAGTCCATATATTTGTCCTTCTTTATGGCTGCATAATATTCCATTGTGTATATGTACCACATTTTCTTTATCCAGTCCAGTTTTGATGGGCAACATGGTTGGTTCATGTTTTTGCTATTGTGAATAGAGCTACAACAAACATACGTGTGCAGGTATCTTTTTTGTAGAATGATTTGAGTGTCCTCTGGGATATTTCCAATAGGGGAATTGCTGGATTATATGGAAGGTCAATTTCTAGTTCTTTCGGAAATCGCCACCTTGTCTTCCAAAGAGGTTGCACTAGTTTGCATTGCCACCAGCAGTGCAGAAGCGTTCCTTTTTCTCCACACCCTAGCCAGCGTCTGTTGTTGTTTGTTTTATTAATGATGGTCGTTCTTACTGGGGTTAGGTGGTATATCAATGTGGTTTTGATTTGCATTTCTCTGACGTCTCTTTTTTCTTCCTTCTCTCTCTTATTCTGTCTTCTCTCTGTCTGTAATCCTCAGTATGGGTCTCTCTCTCTCTCTCCTCCTCTCCCCCCTCCCCCGCTCTCTCCCTGTAGGTCTATCCCTCTATCCTCCCTGTCGGTCTCTGGCCTCGTTTTCTCTCTTTTCTCTCTCTCTTCTCTGTCTCTCCCTCTCTCTCCTCTCTCTTCTCTCTCTCTCTCTCTCTCTCTCTCTCTCTCTCTCTCTTTCTCTTTCTCCTCTCTCTTTCTCTCCTCTCTCTCTCTCCTTTCCTCTCTTTCCTCTGTCTCTCTCCTCTTTCACACTCTCTTCTCTGTCTCTCTCTCTCCTCTCTCTCTTCTCTCCTCTCTCAGCCCATGTGCCTCTTTATCAAAATACATGTCTACTCAGTAGACCACAGTGCTGAACACATCACTTCCCAGAGTAATAACCCAACTGTGTCTGCCCACGCTTAGCAACTTAACATTTCCATCTCTTCTCTCTTTCTTCTCTAATAGTGACTCCTCCAGTTTTCCTAAACTTAAAACCAACAATCACAAACACACACACACACACACACACTGCTCAATGCCCTGGGGAAGCTCTTGCTTTTGATTTGTGCTCCTTGCACTGAGATCAGGGCCCTGAGCAATGGCCTTGTAGATCAGCCTCTGCTCAGGTCTCCCCCACTGCACCTGTTTGTCATGAGCATCTCCTCCAACCCTGCCCTGGCTCCCCTGATCTGCCTGCTGTCTCCACAGGCTATCCACAGTACCTGGTGGTAGGGAACCACCTGTCAGGAGAGCACCACCTGAAGATCCTGCGGGCAGAGCTGCAAGACGATGCCGTGTATGAGTGTCAGGCCATCCAGGCTGCCATCCGCTCCCGCCCCGCACGCCTCACAGTCCTGGGTAAGAACCATCTGCATGTGTGGGCAAGGATGCTATGGGACACACTAAGGACTCAGTTCTAGAAGAGTCCTTCCAGTCAGACTAGGGGAGGGTCTTCCCACTGGGCATCGTCCCACAGGGCTCCAGCCACTGCTGCTCCTATAGTGTTCATACCTCACCTGCCCATTCAAAGGGCGCAAGGAAAGACTCCTGCCTTAGAAAACCAGAAGACCAATGCCAATTGGCCTAGGACTGCCCAACCCCGCTGTGTGTGAAGGCACCTTAGGGAGCTAATGAGGGCTCCTAGGTACATATTTGTTCCATCGGAAAGCATGATGAATGTGCATGATGGCTTACGTCTATAATCTCAGCACTTTGGGAGGCTGAGGTGGAAGGATTGCTTGAGTCCAGGTGTTCAAGACCATCCTGGGCAATATAGCAAGACCTCGACTCTACAAAAGAGTCAAAACATTAACCGGACATGGTAGAACATGCATTTAGTCCCAGTTACTCAGGAGGCTGAGGCGGCAGGATCACTTGATCACTTGAGCCTGGGAGTTTGAGACTACAGTGAGCCATGATGGTGCCACTGCACTCCAGCCTGGGTGACCAAGTGAAACCCCAGTGAAAGGAGAGAGAATGAGAGAAAGAAAAGGAGAAAATAAGGAAGGAAGGAAGGAAGGAAGGAAGGAAGGAAGGAAGGAAGGAAGGAAGGAAAGAAGGAAGGAGGAAAGCTTGCTCTGTACATGTTATCTAGGCAGGCTCTGCGCCAGGGAAGAATGTGGCATAGTCCATGGGTCCTTTCTTTCTGAACTGACCTCCCCCTGGTGCTAACAAAGTCCTATCTGTTCTTCTGCAGAGTCAGCCTGGAGCTAGATTCTCCCCGTGAGTCCAGTATCCACGGGGACGCCAATGATCCCTGTACTTTCCCTGCCCTTACTGCTTTCTGGGAACCCTGGGTCTCAGGTCATTCCTCAGCAAACCAACTTCAGATCCTTATTCCAAGTCATACATTTTCCCCATGGTCTTTCTTCCTCTTGGCTTCCCAGGGGCCCAATGTCCCTGGGACATCCTGCCTGAAGGCGAGGGAATGCGCCCAACAGTGACCTCTTAAACGGCCTCATTCTGAACTCTAGTTCAGCCTGACAGTCTCCCTCCCCTGCCAGATGCTACTGAGGATCAAGGCCGCTGGGAAGCAGGCCTCACATATAAGACATTTGCCACGCAGTTTACAGCAGCTCTCAAAGCTGTTTCACACACATTACCTCAGCGGTTTCTGATGCTACTCCGGGGCAAGGATTATTACTCAGATAAGAAACTGAGGCTCAGAGATGCGTAAGTCCTGGCCCAGGGGCTCCCAATCAGGGCTTCTTGCGCCTCCTCACTGCCCCTCACACGTGTGCGAAAGGGAAGAGGGTGGTCCCAGGCCCACACCTTGCAGCTGTGGTGAAGGTCTGACAATAGAGTCTGCCTCTGGGGTGCTGCCTCCTCGCCTGGCAGCTGAGGTCCACGACTGCTCAGAGATGAAATATTTAAGAGCATGTCAGGTTATCTTCAGATCTACATGGCCAAACACACCAGGGCAGATTATTCCAAGCACTGCAGCAGACAGGCCCCGGAGGACCACTTACCAAGCTCAGAGCCTGGCTTCTTGAGATGAGGAGGAGGAATTCAGGGTCAGCCTCAGAAACCTCCTTCAACCTTTGAGTCTCCTCTGGCCTGTGATGAAAGGAATGAGAAAATAAACCTGGGCCGGCGGGGTAAATAAACTGGGATTATGTGGCTGGGAAGTGGGCCTTCAGGGGAGTAATCAGGGATATTAAAGGGCACGGCAGCCGTTTTCATTTCTCCCAAGATGGTGGCTAAAATGGGAACGGGTCTACAATTTGGGATGGGGATTGAGGGAAGAGAAGAGGAGGATTTGGGGTCTGATTTTTTTTTTTTTCCTGATTTTGAGGATTGTGAAACACCAGAACAGATTTGCTAAGTATAGTTGAGAGAGTCTCAACTTCAGAGAGGGTTCAGGTCCCCACTCTCAGTAAAGCCTGCCTCATACCCCTTCTAGAGGAGGTCAGAGAATGCTAGAATGAAAGGAACCCAAGCACTGTCCACTCCTCTGACATCACGGGGGATCAAAAATAGATGGAGATGCTTCTTGTGCTTAAGGTGTTTCAGATTCCCCAGTCATACTTAGCCACTCACATGTCCTTTCCACTCTACTCTCTCAGCTAGATAAGAATCAAAAGTTCAAATCATTCCAAATGTTTTACGGATAAAAAAAATTGCGAGTCAGAGAGGCAAAGGCACTGACAGGAGGTTACACAGCTTGATTAACACTCAAAATCAACTCCAGATCTTCCAGTCCCAACCCTGTCTCTTGTTGCTCTTGCCTCAGCCTCCTGTTCTCAAATGCCAGCAGCGTCTCACCTGTCCAGCCAGGCTTCTTAGAGCAGGGTTCAGGATCCTATCCAAACAGGCCCGATTTTGTCTTGGGTCACATCTAAAAAGCATTTTCTCTCCCTCCCTCTCCAGTGGCACAGTCTGGCACTGCCCTCTGAGCACAGAGCTGGATTTGTGAGGGAGGGAGGAGATGTTTTATTCAAGTCTGGAGATTTGTGGAAGGGGAAGGAGGTATTTCCAGGGGACCCCAGCAGGGGACCTCAGCAGGGTCCCTCGATGAAATTCTTGAGAGGAGAGAGAGCCTGAATCTGTATCTTAACCATCAACCTTTCAGGCAGTCTCCACAAAAAAACATTTATCCTAAGCAAACTAATCCCCCAGGCAAGAAAGAGCCTCCTCAGGCCCTATCTACTGTTCTTTCTGACTCCTTGAGACCCCTCCACAGGTCTCCACCCTCAGCCGATCCTTTAAGGTTCCTCCCGGCTGAATGTTTCTTATAGTGCCCAGCTACTGCCCTGCAAAGAGGCCCCTAAGAAGCTGAGGCAGCCAATTGGGAAGGGAGCCCTGCCTGTGGACAGTAGATGGACAGAGTAGATCTTCCCACAGAGATGAGAGAGGTGTTTCTCACCCTGGCCCAGCCACCTTCCCCACCAAGACCCCATCTGCTTTGCTGTGACATCTCAGCCTGGGAAAAAGTCCCAGCCAGTTCCCCAAGGGTGGGCTGCCTTCCCTGTGTTCCAGGAATGAGAGAGCTTCCTAATTTAGTCTGTATTTGCCTGAGATAGATTTTTAATTAAATAAAGTAAGAGCCTGATTAGGACCTGCAGAAGATATGAGAGCAGAATCAGATGGCATTCCAGCAAAATTGCAAAGCAAACACTTTGGCTGGAACAGAGGTAGGCCCCTGGGGGTCTTCCATCAAAGTACCAAGTGAGGAGGGCAAATACGAGAGATTATATAGCCAACAGATGTGCATTGTTAAAATATGCATCTGCCGGCAATGTGCTCAGAGAAGCCAGAGGGCCAGCTCGCAGAGCCTGCAGGCTCCAGGGAGGGCACAGGGACTCGGCCTGGCAGCCAAGCCTAGAGTCACAGACACATTAATTAGCATTGTGTTTCTAGCTCTCAGATGCAATCAGGCAAGGAGCAACATTGAGCCGAGCATTTGTTACCCCAGGAGGCAGAGGGAGGGAGGTAGGAAACGCAGAAGGAAAGAGGGGAAAGAGGCTGGATCTGCGAAGTCCAGAGAGGCAAAGACGGGAGATTCAGTCCAGGTCAATGGTTAGGCTGTGTTTCCTCTGTGACCCAATCAGCTGCTGAGGACCAGCCTTGAGTCAGCCGAGGTCAAGACAGGTATTTTTTCGCCCGCAGAACACCTGGGGAGTCATGGCATCACAGAAAGAGCAGCTGACTTCGAGACAATAGTGGGATCTTGGCCCTGTTTCCAGCTCTCAGAGTCAATCAGGCAAGGAGCAACTTTGAGCTGACCATTTGCTACCCTGGGGTGCAAAGAGAGGGAGCTAGGGTCCCTCCCAACCTCTCTGGGTCTCAGTTTCCTCATCTGTCAAATGAGAGGTAATGATAAATAAGACAATCACGAAGAACTGTCTGGCTCCTAAAAGGTCATGACTTTCACTGGAGGAGTCCAGCATGCTGCACCAACTATTTTAAAAGACTGAGCCATCCTTCACTAGAACCAAGATTCATGTGGTAACTGAGACACAGAAGGGAACCGATTCCCATGGTTTAGACAGTATTGCATTCTGAGGCTGAGAGATGGGATCTTGGAAGTCCTGTCCAGCCCTGGAATCCTGGACTTGGCAGTGTACCTTAACCCTGGCCCTCCCTGCAGAGGCCTCCCTCCATAGCCAGTCCCACATATACTCAAACATCTCTGCAGAGACTCCGCTTGGTTGGGCATCAGAGGACTCCTGTGCACATGAGCAGAGAGATCTGTGGCGTGGTAGGACAAGCCCTGGGCCGGGAAGTAGAATATCCTCTTGCAGCTCACTAATGGGATGACCTCGGGCAAGGTCCTTAGGGCTGGAACTGGGCCTCTTTGGTCCAACGCTATAACCAGCACTTAGTATACAGTAGGTATTCACTAATATTTGTTGATATTTTGCTTGGGATTTATTTATTTATTTATTGAGTCGGCATTTCACTCTGTCATCAAGCCTGGAATGCACTTGTATAGTCACAAGGATCACAGCTCATGGCAGCCTCAACCTCCTGGGCTCAGGCAATCCTTCCACCTCACATACTGAGTAGCTGGGACTATAGGCATGAGCCACCTCGCTCACCAAATTTTTTTTTCTTTTTTTTTTTTTGTAGAGATTAAGTTTCACTATTTTGCCCAGGCTAGTCTCAAACTCCTGGACACAAGCAATCCGCCCACCTCAACCTCCCAGCAAAGTGCTGGGATTACAGACATGAGCCACCACACCTGACCAATATTTGTGTTTTTGAATGAATGAATGGAGTTTTTGCTTCTTTATCTATAGGATGGAGTTATAAAAAGATCAATCTTGTGGGATTGTTGTGAACATCACACACACAGACTCACTTCCTAAACAATAAAGAGCCATACACTTTAGAGTTGCGTGTGCACACTAACACAT